TGTCGAAGGCCGATGGAGCAACATGTAGGAAGAGTGGACCGAGGAGCGGGAGCACCTGCGCCGCGCGAAAGACGAGTGGGAGACGCGCATCCGGGTTGTCGAGGATGGCGTCGGCAGCAACATTTCGAAGGTCGAGTCGATGCTCGGGACTCTAGCTGCGCTGCCTGCGCAACAACATTCCTTTCTGAACGGAAACGGAAAGCTTACCCACAGCGGCGGCCTCGTTACTCCCCCTAGCCCACGCAGCCTGTCAGCAGAGTCGACGCGCCCATGACAGAGGCGAAAACGCAGCAGCTCGTCAAGAGGCCGCTCGCGCTCGCGGTCTGCCTCCATGGCTGCTGGCGTGGAGGTAGGCTCGTCGGCATCGTCGATCTCAGGCGACACCACCGAATCTCACCCACTCACGCGGCAGTGCTTGCCTTGGACTGCTGACGACTCGAGCATCAGTGACACGGAATCGCATGCGGCCAGTGATAGGGCGACAGCTGCAGGCGAGGATGAGCCGACAAGGAGTCTCAAGGGTATGCCGTTCCCGATCACCCCGGAGTTCTCAGTTCTGAACCATCCGCTGTCGTCCTCGGATGATGCGTCTGGGACAGCAACCGACTCACAGACGCGGCCGCCGCCCAAAGACCTGGTACGTCGTCCCGTTTACTTATCTTCTGTTCCGCTGGGTTGACACAACCTTTGTCAGTCACACTTCAATCTATCGGCAGCCGTAGGTCTGCTCGTTCTCAGCGTGGTCACCGGGGCAGTCTTATGGCGGATAAAACCCGAAGGTTCGGTTTCGGTATAGCATACATCACTTCTGGTAGCTGCTCTGGTGAGCGGTGTTATCCTATCATATGATCAAGACTTGTCCCTGTTCTGTCGTATTCCTCCTGTTTCACAGTTTCGCTACCTCTTCATCTGGATCCCGTCGCATCGTTTTCGAACTGCAGAACTGCTTGTTATGCCCTTCTTGTGTGTGTATATTCATGAGTACGCAAGCCGCCTTTTTTGTACTTTGTTAATAACAACCCTTATGACCACATTCGTTAATGCAAGTCATTTTGTGCTGGTGTCTTGTCCGATAAGGTACATTTTTGCGAACACTGTTTAGTTACATTCGGCTCTAATGATAATGTTGGCCCAAAGATGCCAAATGGGTTCAATAGGCCCAGTACCGTTTTGAGTCCAGGTTTGAACTGCTATTTTACTTGGGTTTCGGTTTGATTCAGATCTAAACTGGAATCAATGGACATTCTCGGATGCCCTTGTACAGTTGATACTTCAAATTAAGCATTTTAAGTTTGAATTATTTGCTTTGTCAGCAATTCAAACTGAGTTTAAATATGATTACATCAGCCAAAAAGCGGAATCTGAGTTTGAATTGCTTCTTGTCTCTTAACCACCACCATCTATTCACCAAAGTCAAATTTGTTATTACAAATCACATCACCTGGGTTTGTTAATGCATGTTTCACTGAACTATCTCACCTTGCTAACTCTTAATTAGTCTTAATGCCTGCAGATCGCCAGTTTGTATTCCACCTTAGTAACAAACACATTCTTATCGATTTCATTGTTGTTAGATATCATTGTGAAGCTTTGTCATGCAAGGAGTCCTTTGCCTCCATTAGACTTCAAAAGATTCACATGGATGATGTTCATTGTGATTATGTTCAAACTGAACATGATGGTACACCATTCTTTTATTATATCTTTCCAATGCTCATCACTGTTTAGGCACTCCTTGCGAGTTACCACGTGATCAACAATCTCAATTAATCCATTGTCCTAGTGGTGATTTCTCCACATGTTCTGCCACTGAAATGATAGATCATGCAGAAATGGCTCATGCCTCTCAATTATTGCACTCACCTCATACACCCATGTCCCACTCACAGGTGGCCCATATTGATACTTCTGTGCTTGCTACTATTGTGAGTCCTTTTGTTAATCGAATTTACAATGCATTCCCATAAATGTAATAGAATCCTGAAGACCATATGATACTGGATAATCCTGAACTTCCTACTCCTTCGGCTAATCCTGTTTCAGATCACACTAGTGATATGATTGTTGATTCCTATATAAATCATAATGCTCAGATCCTAGCTGAAGTCACAGGTATCTTTGTTTTCTATATTCTTGCTGATTGTATTAATCATATCATATAGCACAATCCTTGAAGCATGCTCTAGATCCTGAAACCTCATACCTCCTTCATAATGAGTTTTTAAACTCGGTTGACTGTGCCTATCACCTTTATTATAAGGTTATTCTATGTCTTGGTTGCAAAACTGCTTGGTCCCCAGAAGCACTACAAGGTCACCTCATAACTCATCGTCTAATTCTTCCTGCCAATTTCCCAACACTGCTCTCGACCTTTCTACTCACTCACCCAGTTACCCCACCAACTTCTGTCCCATTACCTAAATTTGGCGAACCTCCTGTTGAAGGTTTGGCCATTTTTGATGGCTTTGAGTGTTTTGATTGCTGCTATGCGGCCATTCAGCAAAAGTCAATGCGCAATCATTACAAAGTGGACCATTCTACTCAAGCACGAACTCATGGAGAAAAGAAGTGGACCAAAGTCAAGGTTCAAACCTTCTTCAATCCTGTACCTCGACGATACTTTACAGTCAATCCTTCTCTCCTCAATGTGGCTTCTGACACTGCTTATTCGGTTTTCATCCGTGATGTTCTACCAACCATCGAACCTGTCTTTCAGCCTGTGCCACAAAGTCCTCATCATATTACACCACTTGTTCAAATGACTGGTTGGGCTGACTATCTTGACGAGTTGGACTTGTTGAAGTCTCGCCGCGCCATCCGCAATCTGGTGTCGTTCACTCAACTTCCTACTGCCAAAGAACCTGTGCTTCAGGAACTTGAAGATTGGGTGTGGCACTTAGGTTAGGTTAGGTTAGGTTAGGTTAGGTTAGGTTAGGTTAGGTTAGGTTAGGTTAGGTTAGGTTAGGTTAGGTTAGGTTAGGTTAGGTTAGGTTAGGTTAGGTTAGGTTAGGTTAGGTTAGGTTAGGTTAGGTTAGGTTAGGGT